ACGTAAGGAATGAAATTGTGCTGCATTTTAAGTGGGTGGAAGTGACTGGACTTACAACACGACTGGCGGACATTGTTTTTGATATAAATTTCCTCCAGCGACATAAATCAAGTCCTTCGAATGGAATTCCACCATACAAACTGCCAAGTGCTTCTTCTCCAGCTTTAATTATAGCCTGTTTTGACATGTTTTCAGCACAATGAACACGTTTGCTTGTTCCTGAAGATTTGGATCAGACTTGATTTTCTTTAAAGCAAATTGTTTCCCTATTCCAAAGAACCTACTGGTTGTGTCACAGCCTGTTATAACATAAAAAAATGGAAGCTGATAGCATAGATCTCCACCAATTAATGTTTTTGTTTTGAATATATCCCATATTTTGTTTGCTTTCGTAGTAGCTTGTTTATCTGATGTGAAATATATTCTTTTAAGATTTTGTTTTGCATGATGAATAAGCAAAACAAGTAAATCAGTGTCTTCTCCAAATACAACTACTTTTTTAGTATCTGACTTATCAATAGCCATCTGCACTATCAATAAATCTGCATCATCTGTCGCTTGTACGGCTTCAATTCCGTTTTCAATGAATGTTTCTTTAAGAAGTAAAACAAAGCGATGTTTGTTTGCATCATTTGCCAGGAAAGTTTCTTTTTTCACCCTAAGCGGCATATTTTTTGTAAATGTCACTGTATTTGATACAATACCCTTATTACGTCTAATATGCGTGATATCTTTGATCGAATGATTGTTATACCCATCCAGGACAACTGTAGGAGTAAGAAACTTTTTTTTTACAAGATCGAATGTATCTTTAATTTTGCCTTATTTAAAAATATTTGTTAGTACGAGTCGTCTTTCAACTTTTTAGAGAAATCTCATCATGTTAAAATTCACCGAAAGTGACACTATTTTGAAAAAGTAAGTCAATCTTCAAAATCCTATTCGTCCTACAATTTTTATTCGAATGTCAATAGTTTGATATTTTTGAAAAGCATTCACTATTCGCAATCGACTGTTGCAGTAGAAATTTGACCTAGATTTTTTGTTAGAGTGACGTCCTAAAATTGAAGTTTTTATACGCCCACATTTTCATGTGGATGTATATTGTCTAGCCCCTGTCCGTCCGGACGTCCACAATTGTTTGTAGACACTCTACAGTTCACAATTTCTATCCGATTTCAACGAAACTTGAAATATAGATTTATCTCACTAAGATCTCCGTTCCTTGCGATATGGATTATGGCCCCTGATTCTTCAAGAAATCGCGTTTTTGGCTTGTGGACCCTATAGAGGTCACAATTTTTATCCAATGATTTGGTTCCATTCGGTAATTGCATATACCTGAACGTAACTTCCTGAATTATGGCCCGTGATTGTACGAAAAATCGCGTTTTTAGCTTGTGGACCCTCTAGAGGTCATAATTTTCATCTGATTTAAAAAAACAGTCAAATATATCACCGTTACTCCGTAAAATTAGATGAGTTCGAATTTCATGAAAATCTGACCAAAACTGCTGGAGAAAATGGCCGCCCCTCGTAACATCTGTTATATCGAAGTTGTGGACTATCTAGAGGTCACAATTTTGATATGATTTTGATGAAACTTGAAATGCATGTTTATAACCCTTTCGATATTTGGGCATATTGAATCGTAACTTCCTGAATTATGGCCCCTGATTGTATGAAAAATCGTGTTTTTAGCTTGTGGACCCTCTAGAGGTCACAATTCTTACCTGATTTAAAAAAAACGTTTGAATATATCACCTTTTCACCGTGATGTTTGTTGAGTTCGAATTTCATGACAATTGGGCCAAAACTGTCGGACAATATGCAAATAGTGTAATGAAACGTGAATGACATGTTTATAACCCAAAGATCTTGGTTCCTCTTGATATTTGCGCATATCGGATCGTAACTTCCTGAATTATGACACTTGATCCGATATTGATAAAACTTTAAATTGATGTTGATATCACTATGATTTAGTCCTTTCGTTAATAGCATATATCTGAACGTAACTTCCTGGATTATAGCCTCTGATTGTTCGAAAAATTATGTTTTTAGCTTGTGTTCCCTGTAGAGGTCACAATTTTTATCCGATTTATAAAACCGATTAAATATATTACCGTTACACCCTAATGATGGTTGAGTTTGAATCACATGATAATTGGACCAAAACTGCCTGACATTATGACCGCCCCTTGTACGCAAATAGTGTAAATATATGGTATATCAAGGTTGTGGACTCTCTAGAAATCACAAATATATCTTTATAACCCAAAGATCTTAGTTCCTTTTCATATTCGTGCATATTGGATTGTAAATTCCTGAATTATGGCCCATGATTTAAAAAACGATTGAATATATTACCGTTCAACCCTAATGATGGTTGAGTTTGAATCACATGAAAATTGGACCAAAACTGCCTGACATTATGACCGCCACTTGTACGCAAATAGTGTAAATATATGGTATATCAAGGTTGTGGACTTTCTAGAAATCACAATTTTGATCCGATTTTGGTGAAAATTGAAATATATCTTTATAACCCAAAGATCTTAGTTCCTTTTGATATTCGTGCATATTGGATTGTAACTTCCTGAATTATGGCCCATGATTGTACGAAAAATCACGTTTTTTGCTTTTGGTCCCTCAACTAGATATCAAAATTTTTATCCCATTTCGATGAAACTTAAATTATATCTTTATATCCCAAATATCTCAGTCCCTCTCAATTTTCGCACATTTCAGACCATAGCTTCCTGGATTATGGGCCCTAATTGTACGAAAAATCGCTTCTTTTTTTTTTTACCTTGTTCTCTGTCCATATTTTGCAAAATGTGGGCGTATATTGCTTGGCAACTGCTGGCTCTTTTCTATTTCAGTTATCAACTGGCACATTTTGACTTCATTTTTCCATTGCTCACATATGATTTATTCTTATGCAATACTGGAGGATTCTTAAAACTATTAGAGGCCATACTCGATAAATTCTGCTTCCTTTTTATACGCCCACATTTTCATGTGGACACATATTGTTGTCCCCCCTGTCCGTCTGTGCGTTCACAATTGTTTGTGGACACTCTACAGATCACAATTCTTATCCGATTTTGACGAAACTTGAAATATAGGTTTATCTTCAAAAGATCTTGGTTACTTTTGTGGATTATGGCCCCTGATTGTATGAAACATCATGTTTTTAGCTTGTTGACCCTATAGAGATCAGAATTTTTATCCGACTTTGTTGAAACTTGTATTATACTATTCAAAAAAAGTAGGGGATATTTGATTTTTAAGTGTTATTAAAGTCACCTAATGAAACTGACGAAGAAACAAATGACAAAATGAAATGAAGTTCACATTCATCGATTTATTCCAAATGATCGTTAGACTAAGTAAGGCACAGACTGACCATTAAAAGGGTAAAATGATACCCGGGGTCAAACAGCAAAGTTACCACAGCATCACAACCAAGTCAGTAACGGGTAAATCCTCCTCTGTTTGCCAAACAAGCATTGATCCGACGTGGCATACTTCTAATGAGACGTCTAAGGTCATTTTGGTCCAGATTGTCCCATTCCTGTTGCAACGCAGCAGCAAGTTCTTGGACATTGGCAGGACGTTGTTGACGTTGACGTAACCTCTGTCCAAGCATGTCCCAGACATGCTCGATGGGGGAGAGGTCGGGACTCAGTGCTGGCCAAGGTAATGTGGTGATGTTCTGTTGTTGGAGGTAACCTGTAACGATCCTGGCCCTGTGACATCTTGCGTTGTCATCCTGGAAGATGAAACGGCGGCCATGACGTCGTGCGAACGGCACAACATGGACTGCCAAGATGTTGTCCCGGTAGTACTGGCCTGTAACACGCCCTGCAACAACATGTAAAGCCGTTCTTCCAGCAACAGTGATGCCTCCCCACACCATAACAGAACCACCCCCAAATCGATAAGTCTGATGACGTTAACGTCTTGGAAGCGCTCGTTTCGAATAGCTACATGATGCCACAGCACAGAGTATAAATATTTTTAATCTGTGGCCACAGTAACTTACAAATTTTCTCATTTCTCTCAAAATATTCACAAAATAGAGTTCCGACAAAGACAATTTAAATTCCATAAGTTACACTTCACCAGCAAATTATAATATTTGCAACATACTTTTACTGATATATGTCAAACACTATGCCACGTGTCAGGGGGTTAATTTGTAAATTAAGTTAAGAAGTGCGCGGGTCTTTTTTACGCGATCGACGTGGAGATCAGACGAAATTGGGCGCTTTTTTCAATTCACGGAGAAACAGTAAGAAAATGAGTGTGAAATCGGATTTTATCTAAAAATGCTGAATTAGAAGAAACATTTGATAATGAGACGTGGGATATTTCTCGAAGGAAATTTCAATATTTCAAAATGGCCGGTGGCTGTAAACAGCAAAGGCGGGACAGTCTAGCCTAGAGACACAAATCATACTGAAAAAGACACAGTTCTGTAGACAACCTTGCGAAAATTATAAAATTTAGTGGCAAGTCATTTTTTTCTTAATAGTCCCTAACTAAATCTAGATAGCGGTTGCCTAAATGTATTAATAGAATAATAAGTTAGTAGGCTTTAAAATTGAAGTAGGCCTAGAACTAGAACTGTTCTCATTTCGATCTCTGTGTACGCCGAGGCCTAGAACTAGCCGAGACGAGAAAGTTCATCAGCTAATTCAGGATTTCCAGCATGGTTCACCCTTGTAATGTCAGTGAATGTGATGCAGGACAAAGGGCCTGGGCCGGATAGCCGAGGTCCCGTGTAAACATTGGAGTGCAGGTAAAAGATCCCCTGGCAGTTGGAATTCGATAGACTATAAGACGCTGTCCTGGCAGAAGTTCCCTCATCACTGCATTTCGTATGCCTGACTTCATTTGCCCAGTCAGATCAGAACAGTTCGGTCGTAGGCTGTTAAACTGTTGTTAAACCCCATTTCATTTTTCTCTATTTTTCTATTTTCGTTTTTCAGATGACCGAAAAAAATATTCTAGATTATTTATCAAGATACTTATACGGTAATATAAACAGGAAAACAAGTGAGTGGTAAAAAATATTTATATAGTTCAGAAAGTGAGAATGAGACAGAGACAAGAAAAAAGTAAGTAGGCCTTTTTTTTTTAAAATGAGTGCTCAGGCCTATGTCTATTACTATTAGTATTAGCCTATTGTCTAGACCACACCTCATATAAAAAATAATATCCCATTTCGATGAAACTTAAATTATATCTTTATATCCCAAATATCTCAGTCCCTCTCAATATTCGCACATTTCAGACCATAGCTTCCTGGATTATGGGCCCTAATTGTACGAAAAATCGCTTCTTTTTTTTTTTTACCTTGTTCTCTGTCCATATTTTGCAAAATGTGGGCGTATATTGCTTGGCAACTGCTGGTTCTTTTCTATTTCAGTTATCAACTGGCACATTTTGACTTCATTTTTCCACTGCTCACATATGATTTATTATTATGCAATACTGGAGGATTCTTAAAACTATTAGAGGCCATACTCGATAAATTCTGCTTCCTTTTTATACGCCCACATTTTCATGTGGACACATATTGTTGTCCCCCCTGTCCGTCCGTGCGTCCACAATTGTTTGTGGACACTCTACAGGTCACAATTCTTATCCGATTTTGACAATACTTGAAATATAGGTTTATCTTCAAAAGATCTTGGTTACTTTCGATATTGGCATGTATCGAACCGTAACTTCGTGGATTATGGCCCATGATTGTACGAAAAATCATGTTTTTAGCTTGTTGACCCTATAGAGATCAGAATTTTTATCCGACTTTGTTGAAACTTGTATTATATGTAAGTTTATAACCCAAAGATCTTGGTTCATTTCGATATTCACACATAACAGACCGTAACGTCCTGAATTATGGCACTGATTGTACGAAAAATCACGTTTTCAGCTTGTGGACCCTATACACTGAGAACTACTAAGTGGTCAATCTGTGCACAGCCCTTATAGAAAATTATGTCTTGGGCGTTATCTATACGTTTTTCGAAAGGAAATTAATTTTCCGACTATTACTCGGTATTACGGCGTTAAAACTGTAAATAAGGTGTGTTAATTAACAAGGGTGAAAAACTGTCTGAGAGGTGAGTTAATTAACTCATAAATTATTTACTAGCTATTATAAAAACATACAATACACAAACAGGGTAAGCAATATGATCAACCTTCCCGAAGAGCTACCAATTGTCCGAATTTTCAAAGAAAAAATTGACAAATTTTATAGTGTAATGTCAGTATCTTCTCAAATAAAGCAACGGAACAGTTTTCCAATACGCGCGAATAAGCTCGCGCACGCCTTTACATGTGATAGAATTGTTACTTTGATCAAAGAGATGTTATTGCTCTGCACGGACTATGCGTGAAACGGTTAGACGTGAAGTCTGAAATGGTTGGGTTGACATTTGAATGGTACAAATTTGAAGACACAAATAATAACTTGTCGAAAGACGAGAATAATTATATTTACGAGAATCAGTATATTTACATACGGCAAATTTGGCTTATTTTCGATATACACAGGGATATTTAAATTGGGGCCTACCTGTTCGGTATTTATAAATGACGACATTGCATTTCGTGGGATAGATTAAGCTCAATATTTTTATTTCATTAAATGCAACTTTATAAGTAGCGTGACTATATGGTACGCGGTATAATCATTGTTCGACACAAATGTCGGTCCGTAGGCCCGAGGCCGACTGATTTATCGGAGGACTCCTGCTTGCCTATTTCACTCGGGTCCGCCTGGCCTTCGACTTCTTTCTTATCTCGCATAGTTAGTGTCCACTACGACAATTCGGGAAATGCTAGAACTGTCATATAAACGCAACCTCCAAGTCTCCGATAGTTGACGGTTATTGTTTACTTGTCATCGACATGACGGAAGCTGCTGTTTTTCCAAACATTGACTCGCGTAACCAGCCTTTGATTTGTAACTGGGTTTTTTTGTCGGCTTTAGCCGCTTGAACTTTAAACAAACCGATTGGTAAAAACAATGAAACGGCCACTATGGTATCATAAATCAATCTACTTTCGGCTAAATTTAACGGTTTAATTGTTACTTTTTGATTAAGTAGTCAATCAACTTGCTTGTTGGCTACAATAACAGTCATACCTCTCGGTATGGATTGCGAATCTCGCTCGGGAATCGCGCTTCTTCGACGCTCCGTATAGATTCCAGGTACCGGTAGATAATAAAATAATAATTGGATCATGCATTTAATGGTTTGGCTGACCAGTTGTTACAGAAATTTAAATCTTAGTTGAATATAATCCTCAGAACAGTCATTAATAATATATTTTTCCGACAAAATCTTTGATGCCAAATCCGCCGATGACACGTGACATCAGTTGGAATTTCTAGGGCAATAAGCCAGCGATGCTAGGTTTAGTTTTAAGTAACGTTTACCGTTATGATTTTTTATTTGATACACATGCTGCTAGAGGCTAAATTTTAAACATATTGTCGTTATTATTATTGAAAACTATATGGCATTGTCGTACGGAATTTTATTTTAAAGTAATTTCAATTATGGCTGTCACGTGATCACTGTGCCGTGTGTCTTTCATGGACGAATGAATAAAAACATATTTGCAAGTTACGTGAAAGACAAAAACTACAAATTGTGTTATGAAAAATACCACCATGCTGTATCATTTTATATCCATCCAAAAAACGAAGACAGTTATTTATTCAGGAATATTACTGACACGAAAATTTTCCGAACGGTGTAGCTGTAGGCCTACCTATTATTTAAGGTAATGGAAGCTTATAATTTTAAAACCATTTCCTACGGGACCTCATTTGACTCAATTCTGGGCTATTGTGCTAACAATCTAGGGCGGGATAAGCGAGTTTATGCCATTCCTCAATGTTATCGCCAGGCGTCAAGTTTTTTTGTGTAACTGTTTGAAGTTGACCTAGTTTGATGAGAAAAATCGTAAATTATGTAGCCGTGATAGATTTGTTTCCATTAAATTGAAATGAAATTAAGTTACTAAACCCTTAGTCCTTCTGTGGTGTACTGGCTTTATATGTACTTCCTTGATTCTGATCGTTCTGCGCTTCGCTTGGAAACTATAAATATTATTATTATTGGTTGGGCCTGCGCGTCACCTGAAGAACCCACATGATCACGTGTCACACAGGTCCTGCGGGCCTGTGCTTGGAAAATGTTTGTTTCGGACACTGGGTATAATTGCCAAGTATAGTCGTAAGAATGGAAAACATGTCTCCAAAAATGATTACGTGTCATATCGGGCGTATGTTAGATCACGGGACAATTCTGTAATTGCATAAAAGCGGCTATTATAAATTACAAGTTCTTGAATGAGGATCGTTGGATGCGATTTACATTTAGTGAAAATCTAAAGTAATTTTAGTTTAAATATATCATTTGTGTGGAAATTACCACTGTTCGGTTGGTTGTGCCGTATTTTTTATCAATATGGAGATTTCTGTTTTATGGATATTGCTATTGAAGGAAAGATGCTCAATCTACGCATCGTGGCACGTTTTTATAAATTTAATAAATTTCAAACGGTGAGTGCGTGTCTTTTAATAATAAAGCAGAAATATAGTTGGGTTGTTTTTGCTGAATTTACTCTCTATATTCCCGTGGATATTCAAATTGGGTGCTGACTGGTCGGTATTGATAAATGACAACATTATATTCGCCTTTCCGTATACGATAGATTAAGGCCCATATTTTTATTTCATTAAATGCAACTTATAGTACGCAATACAAAAGGGTTAAACGTAGATCATAGCGAGCACACACGCCTATCTAAAGACCTGTCTTTAATTATACAAAGACCTACGTAAAACACACGGTCGAATGATAAATCGCACGGTAAAACAGTTTTACTGCCCAAATTTTGATTTAACACGTACGTGTCAGATAAAGCCTGTTGGTCCTTGATTATACCCATTTTGGTGCAGTTATCGCAACTAGCGAGAAAACTCGCCAATTAAACAATACACAACATTGACATTCATTCATTTAATTAACACACCTCTACTGAAAACACAAGGTCGCACAGTTTTTCACCCCTATCGTTAATTAACTCACCTCTCAGACAGTTTTTCACCCTCGTTAATTAACACACCTTATTTACAGTTTTAACGTGGTAATAGTTTTGACGAAACTAGAAATATAGGCTTATCCCCAAAAGATCTCGGCTGCTTTCGATATTGGCATGTATCGGATCGAAACTTCATGGATTATGGCCGCTGATTGTACGAAAAATCACGTTTTAGCTTGTGGACCCTACAGAGGTCACAATTTTTATCCGATTTTTTTGAAACTTGAAATGTAAGTTTATAACCCAAAGATCTCAGTTCTTTTTGATATTCGAGCATATCAGACCGTAACTTTCTGAATTATGGCCCCTGGTTGTATGAAAAATCGCGTTTTTAGCTTGTGGACCCTATAGAGGTCATAATTTTTATCCGATTTAAAAAAAAGTATTATTATATCACCGTTACACCCTAAGGACGGCAGACAAAATGGCCGCCCTTCGTTCTCAAATAGCGTAAAAATATGGTATATCAAGGCTGTGGACCCTATAGAGGTCACAATTTAAATCCGATTTTGTTGAAACTTGAAATGTAAGTTTATATTTCCTTTCGATATTTGCGCATATCGAATTGTAATTTCCTGAATTATGGCCCTTGATTGTAGGAAAAATCACTTTCTTTTTAGCTTGTTCTCTATCCATCTCTCGAAAATGTGGGCGTATCCTGCCTGGCAGCCGCTGGTTTGGTTGAGTTTTTGGTCTAGAATTGGAGAAAAGGGATCAAATTTGCAATTTCATAGCAGTTTGGGGTAATAGGCTACTGATGATATGACAGCGGAGGGATAGTGGGTGAAAGGTGTCTTTCTGGAGAGCAATCATTGTGTCGGTAGTGAGATTTTTACCCCAGAGAAACATGAAATCCCATAGCAAAAAATCTAATCGGCCAACCCCCTACAAGCTTATGATTAGGAGATTGCCAAATGTGGTCCCCATTGTGCCTATAAAGATTGGAACCAAAAGCTACAGCCTGGTGATGTTACAGCCATTTAACATT